AAAAAAAAAGAGCAAAAGGCTGAAAGAGGAGTTAGGTAACCCTAATTCCAGTAGAACCCTGAATAATCCTAAATATGAGATACTGAAGGCATAATTAACCTAAGACATCACAATATGGAGTGAAAAGAATTCTGAAAAATACTTAAGAGGATGTGGTAAACAATAAACTGTGGGGAACGGTGAAGAAATCTAAGAGATCTGCTAGGTTTCTGACTTGACTAATTGATTCAAAACAGCTGGAAGAACAAATTTTATTCTTCTACATCTTATGGGACTCAAGATCAGAGTGTTCTTTCCAACTATAGAATTAGATATGTAAGCTTTAAGTCCTATTCAAGGCCACACTACAATGAGGGGAGTGGTTCCCTTCATTCAGTGCACCAATCTAGCACCCAAACTGCAAACACTAAGTAGTATGCCACTTGAATTGGGGGGTGGGAAGAAGAACTAGGAAGACTGCAAATTCGTGGATAAGGGACCCATACAGCCTGAAATAGTTACACCAATTTTCCATAGCTCCCAGTCAAGTTTTACCTCTCTCAGAAAGGAGACTGGGTAGGGTTAAGGATCATGGCTAAGTTTCAAAGGTGTTATCAGTCAGCTACCTGGCTGGCTAGTAAGCTAAATAGACAAGTAGGTACAATATCACTGAAAAAAGAAATGGAAATCCCAAATATTAGCAACTAGAGAGATGGACAAAAGTTTCACAAGCATAATAGCAGAGGTAAAACGCTGATTGATGTAAGCCATTTGTGTGTAAGGAGCATTTTCATATAAATACTTTAAGCATCTCATATAAATATCATAACTGTATAAATATTTTAACTGTATTTTTAAGTACTGGTCAAAAATCAAAATGTGACAATGAATTTCAACATAATCACTCATTCATTTACTAATGTTTACAGAATACCTACTAATGTATCAGACATTGTAAAAAAAACAATTTTTATTGATTAATGGCATATTTATATAGGCCTTACAGCTTTCAATAAAGTTCAGCATAAATTGCATTATACACTGTCCTTGAAAGCAATGCTGAAATACTTTCCTATAAAGTAATGTATACAATAAAAGGCAATATATGACAGATATCACAGAAAACAGCAGTAGTGTTATAAGAGCATGGAAAAAAAGAGCTCATCTCAGTGTAACTGAGGTGAGAAGCCTCCTTTGGAAGAGACACAACTGACTTCAACCTTAAAAGATAAGTGGGATTTTATGGGGCAGAGATGGGAGAAGAAGTTAACTGAAGCAAAACTACTGACATGAATCATGCTATGGAGCCAAAAAGGCAACTAAAATATTTGAAGATGAGTATGTATACAGAATACAAGTCCAGTAAAAGATTTCATGGTCAAATAAGTTTGGGTAATAAAGCATACCCCATTCTAGAATTGTAATGGCTAACAGCATATGGCTCTTGAGAAAACCTGGAGTAAACACTAAATCTGTGAAAAGCTTCTCAAATTTATTTTACCAAAGAATGACCCCTCCGCCCCATATAACATCATAAAACTTAGGTCAGAACATCACAGAATTTATTCTGATACGTATTGTTACCACATACAAGATATGACAACAATGAAACTGATTTCTCCCCAAAGCAATATTACTTGCTATTTTCTCTACTATTAAGTTAGCTGCATGTCCAAACTGCTGTGCTTGCATTTTTCTTCAAAAGAAGTATTAAATGAATAACCTGCTAAAGGAAGTAGACACTCTGAAGTTTCCTAGATTAATAAAAATTTTTAGTCATTCAAAAGTTAAATACTAGATGATTTTAAAAGTAAAAACACAAATATAAGGCTTAGACTATAAGAAAAAAAGAAAGGTAGACAATAATCCAACAAAAAGATGCTGTGGAAGACTAAATAATTTTCATGATTTTACAGGACAGAAACTGTTCAACTACTCAAAAGGGCAAAAAATATTAACTGGCTGCAGTCAAAGTTGCAGATCAAATCTCTGTATTTCAGCAATACAAATGGGCAGTTTCTCAAAGTGTTGGTCCTACATTTTGTACTTTAACTGAAGAACATTCATTTTTAAAAATAAAAATAAATCATAGCTACAATATATATACACGTGTGAATGTGCATATGAAAAACACACAAAAAGAGTTCATTATAATAGAATGAAAGTTTCAAAAATTTATTTCCCAGAGTTTCTGTAATTTCACATTACTTTTATAATTGAAAAATAAATGAACCTATGGTGCCGTATCTCTCATCCTAACTTTTCTTCTGGCATTTTGACTAGTCTTACCTGAAATACAGTGCAGCCATTGAGAGCAAGAGCTCTGAGATCATGCCAGTTGTGACACTTAACTGAGACCTTGGGCAAGTTAAATAACTGTTCTATTCCTCAGTTTCCATTATCTGTATAATGGAAAAACAAAGTACCTACTTCATGGGGTTGGTGTCATAATTGAGATAATCCACAAAAAAACACTTAGGAATGAATCTGAACCACAGAATTCATTCAATAAATATTAACACTTGTTATATCATATTATATGTTTTAGATCACTGCTGTCGAGTCTGACTAGAAACTTAGATGAAGGTTCTACAAAGCAGTGAGAGTGGCCAAATGCCACAGGATACTGCTTTGATATCTGACCCACCACAGAGATCAAATCTGGCTTCCTGAGTGGTCTGAAAATGATTACCAACATGTCACACGACAGGAAATTGAAAGCCTATCACCAACATGACCTGGAAAATAGCCAATTTATTAATATAAAACCATAACCTCAGCAATTCTGTTTCCCTGAACTGTATATACCCATTACCAAGTTGGATTTTTTCATTTGTAATGAACTTTGTATGATGAAATCACATGCTTAAAACACAATTTCCAAGATGTAAGTATTATACATTTCTATTGACCTCTTAAAATAATTTGACCCATTTTCCAAGCAAACAATCAGTCTTTGAAGAGTATGGGAAGTAGGGTGTGGGAGGGGGATGCCATGGATTCTGCCAACAGTGACTGCTCCTATCAACCAGAGGTCATTAAAACATACTCGGTCTGCCAAATATCTGTAGGTCACACACCTGGTTTTTAAGTCATACTATATAACAACAGTCATCAGCAGCACCTTTTAAGATGAAAATCAACAATACATACACTAGCATTTTAACTCCTATGTGTACTCTCGAGCTACACAGTATTTTCTAGTGACTCACAAAGGCATGTAAAATTGACTGACATCAGTTAGATTATTTTCATACCGACCTCAAGAAAAGAATCTTGTAAATTAAACTGTTTAGAGATGAAAAGCAAAGCATTTCTGAAAAGATTCAACAATCAATGACAAAAGCCACAATGATGCTGCAATAACTAAATCGCATGGCTCAAAAAAGTTTATAGTATAGTCTGCAGAACTGAAGTTTTGAATTACCAAAAAAAGAAAAGGGTGATTCAATTCTCATAAACAAGGGCTTTTTTTTTTTAATCCAAAAGAAACAGAAATCTCAGAAATCTTAAACGTAAGCACAATGTATAGGTAATTTTCTATGTGCTCTAGTTTAACGTGCTATACAAATAAAGTGTATATTATATGCAAAATTGAGATTCTAAGGTAGTTTCTGATCCAAGTTTCATATCAAAACACAAATGTTATATATACACACAAACTATGTCTTGATATACACATAAATTTAGACCAAAGATAGAAAAACTGAGTATTAACTTTAAATTTGGGCAATTTTAGAGCAAGCAAAACCCAATCTCTGAGTTCAATATTAATCTTTTCCTGGAACCTACTTCCAGTCTATTCAAAGGTCCTTCGACGGTTCCCAAAGGAAACCGGCGAAATCTTACAGAATGTCCGAGGGAATATACCTAATCAGGGAAGGTTTAACATCACGTAGGGTTCTGTTATAAGATAAACCAAGATGAGAGCCCTGGCATCACAGTTGACCCAAAATCCGTGAACATAACAGCTAACAAATCTTCACTCATACAATGCAACTCACCTTGCAGCTCAGAGGCATAGCAAAATCGGTGGCTGTTTTTTGCGCTGCCTTTGGATTCTGCATCTGTTTCAAACCTAAAAACCTAGCTACCCTGGGAGCTCCACCTGAAGAAAGCTTCACACACAACGAAAACTATTGCGATTTAAAAGATACCTTGGGTTTTCTACCGAAGAGGTTACGGAAATTTTGCCAGGTAGGACCTTTTTTTTGTCCTCTCCAAACACGGGAGTAGCATTAAGTTAAATCCGCTTCCTTTGGAGGGCCCTAAAGTCAATTGCTTCCACCTAAAATTAAAAATAAAAATCTCCAACCTCACTTCCCTCTTAAAAGACTAAAACTGAATCCATGTTCCCACTCGCAAATGAAGTAGAATGCCTTTCAGCCCACCACACCCTCCTGCCTCATTACGTAGCCCAACTCCCCGGCCGCAGGCGAACTGGCACTGTAAAAAGGGGCTGGGGTTCCGGACCACACCGGCCCCAAGCCACGGAAGGGGAAAGGAAACAGCAGGAGTCAGGAGCCCGACAGGTGCGTCTACGCGTGACGTCACCGCGTTGACGTGAACGGCCGCTCAGCGTCCGGCCGCCGAATACCTCCTCCACCGGCCGCGGTTGGAGGCGCGTCGGCACCCATTGGGCAATGTGGAAACGGTGGGCGGGCCGGAGCTGGGGCGGCAGGAGGAGGAGCAAAGCGAGCTAGCCAGCCCTGAGGGGCCGCGCTGGGTGTGAAACCCTTCCCTGGCGACTAGCTCACGTCACTCACGCTTTGCTATTTGCCCCTCTGCTGACCTCGCGAAAGGACAGGAGGTGGCCGCCTTGGGGGAAGCATTCTCAGAAGGCCGCAGGCGCGCGCTGTACCCAGCATCCTCGGAAGCTCCCAATTCCACGCCGGCAGAAGACCCGGAGCAGCGCGTGAAATCCCGGCAAGCTTCGGCGCCAAAAGCGAAAGGCAGAAGGAGCCGTCCGCGAGCTCTACTTCCGAGAGAAATGGCCTTAAGCACCAAATGTTGCCTGTGTTACTAGGTCGGAAGCAGGGAAAGCAGCGGCCTTACCTCGCCTTATATGTCGTGGTGGAGGGACGGGGCGGGGGGGGAGGGTTATATGCCTGATAAACATGCAGAGAAAACTGATAACCCGAATTTAGCCGTTACGCAGTTTCAAAAATAATGCTTGGAAATAAAGTATTTTGGAGAAAATGGGTAATCCGATTTCAATTTCTACACGGTCGAATTGAATGTATTTTAGTTTGGTAAGTGTTTATTAAAGTAACGTGTACCAGCCAAAATTCAGTAAACCTGACACCTGGGCTCAAGGGGTTTATATTCCGGTGCAATAAAGAATGCTCAGGAAAAGGAGCACCCTTCTGAGAGAGTAATGTGGAAAGAAATCTTTACAGAAGAGTTGATACCTGGATTTTGAAAAAAAAAAAAAGTTGAGGGACGGGAGTTGGGGTGGGGAAAACAAACAGTATCTGGTAGAAATTTCACGTAAGGGAGGAAGAAATTGGAAGTTCTATGTTATGCTGGCGTTGAATATAGTATGCGAGATGTAAAATGGAGAGATGACTTGAGACGATGATGCAGAAGTCAGCAGTTACGCCAAAGAGTTTATGCCTTACCTTAGATAATCAGGGACGGTTGTAAAGTTTTGTTTGTAAGTAGTTTTTTTCTCCAAGGTGTTCGGAAAATGTCCAGGGGCGCCTGGGTGGCTCAGTTGGTTAAGTGTCTGACTTAAGCTCAGGTCAAGATCTCAGGATTGGTGAGTTTGAGTCCCCCCATCTGGCTCTCTGCTGTCAGCGCCAATCCCACTTCAAATCCTCTGTCTCCCTCTCTCACTGCCCCTCCCCTGCTCACGTTATCTCTCTCTCAAAAATAAATAAGAAAGTGTCCAAACATCCAGAAAACTTAATAGAATAGTACATTGCACATTCATACGCAATGGTTGTTCATTTAACATCTTTGATAAATACTAAAAACTTAACGTTTGTGAAGAAAAAATTCAACTTAACAATAGTTGAAGGCTTTTAATCATGGGCATGACAGGATCAGTCACATTCAAAAATTCTGCTATAGTTGCTTCATTTATATTTGGATTTTTTTTTTCCCTGAAGCATGTGAAAATTAGGATGCAGACATTATACTTTACCCTTAGATACTTCAACGTGCAATTGCGGGGCGCCTGGGTGGTTCAGTCAGTTAAGGCATTGGGTTAAACTCAGGTCATGATCTGCAGCTCCTGAGTTCGAGCCCCTTGTTGGGCTCTGTGCTGACACCTCAGAGCCTGGAGACTGTTTAGGATTCTGTGTCTCCCTCTCTGCCCCTCCCCCCTTCCTCTCCCTCTATCTCTCTCTCTGTCTCAAAAATAAACAAACATTAAACAAGTTTAAAAAAAATGCATCTCCTAAGAATAACAACTTCCCCAACACAAGAACAATACCATTATCACAACTAGGAAAATTAGCAACAAGTGCCTGATATCTAATAACCAGTCCATATTTAAATTTTGCCAATTGTTAAGCAAAAAATTCTTCTGCAGTTTTTTTTTCAAACCAGTATCCTATCAAGTTTCAAGCATTGCATTTCAGTTGTTTCTTAAATCTCTTTTAATCTCTAAGAGCTCCTCCCTCAATTTTTCATTATATTGATGTTTTAAAGAGACGAAGGACGTTGTCTTGTAGCATGTCGCACATTAGTTGTTTTCAATTAAGAGCGAGCCATGGCTATTATAGGCTGACCATGTCCTCTCAAAAGATTCCTCCCCTCCCCCTTAAATATATCTTCATTTGGAAATACGTTCTTTACAAATGTGATCAAGGTAAGGTCATCAGGATGGGCTAATTCAGTATTATTTGTGACCTTATAAGAGAAGAGACACAAAGACAGGAAGATGACTCTGTGAAGAGGGAGGCAGAGACTGGAGTTACGCTGTTAAAAGCTAAAGAACAATTGGGACTACCAGAAACTGGAAGAAACAAGGAAGGGATTCTTCCCTGGAGCCCTTAAAGAGAGCATAACCTTATCGACACCCTAATTTTCAGACTTCTAGACTCCAGAACTGAGAAAATAAATTGCTGGGTTTTTTTTTTAAGCTCCTCAGTTTGTGTTGCTTTGTTACAGCAGCCTTAGGAAGCTAATACAATGAGTTAAAATATTTTGAAAGAATACAGAAAATACAAATTGAAAGTTGGTGTCCTGTACAACCTGACCAATCTTAGTGTCACTGTCCACAAAAAACATACAATTAAGTGTCTTGGGGAACTTTCCAGGACCTTTCTAGGCATATACAAAGATATTATACATATATAAAAAAGTGGGATATGCTAGAGAACCTTCTTTGCTTCCCTACCAAATTTTTATTAAACTGTAAATTGTATACCAGAGCTTTTGACTGTATGCTTCTTGGGCCCTCCAGTACAAGAGAGTAATGAATATCTGACTTAGATATATATTTTGTATCTTCAAGGTACATAGCACTCTAATAGCATTATATCACCAATATTCTAGTTTCAACACCTTTTTGATAGTTGTATATAACAGAAAAGGGTTTTAATCAGGGTCCTGTGACAGTACATTTCTGGTTATAGGACCGAGGTCCCTGTTTTATTGCAACACGTCTCTGTTTTCTTACTCACTATTGACCAGAATTGCTCTCTGCTCCTAGAGACCATCCTCAAGTCCTAACTCCATGACCTTCTCACCACATAGTAGTTTACCTCTTCGAAACCAGCAGGAGAATTTCTCTCACTTCTTTTTTAGGGGTCACTTAATTAAGTCAAGCCCATCCATCATAATCTCATTTTCTTATTAATTCACAGTCAATTGATTAATAACCTTATAATGGAAGTGAAATCCCTATATTCACAGTCTGGCCCACAGTGAAGGAGAGGCAATGATATTTTTGCATGTACTTCAGGGCATGGGAATCTTGGGGCCATCTCAGAATTTACCTCCCACAGTCTGCCCTCTAGCCCCTGATGATTTATAGATAAAATAGAATACATTCACCCTTTTCCAAGGTTCTGAAAGGGCTCATCCCAACACAGCATCAACTTGAAGTTCAAAACTTCCTCTTAATCTAAATATCATCAGCTAAAAGTCTAAAATTTCTTCCAAATCAAATGAAGATGATGTTCCTGCCTATAATCTATTAATTCTTCATCTGTGGACCTGTGAAACTAAAGAGGCAAGTTATCCACTCCCAACACTCCCAAAATACCGTGGTGGGATGGGCATAAGATAACAGTTGTAGGCATTCCAGTTCAAAAACAAAAAAGAGAGATAGGAGTCACTATTCTCAAATGCACAGCCACCTACCCAAAAGTGGTAAAAGAGTGCTCCTTCCTTCCCTGATACACTAGTTGGCTTGGGGTTTTTGTTTGTTTTGCTTGTGTTTGATTTTTTTGTTGTTGTTTTGAGAAAAGGAAATCCTCTTTGTATAACCCTCACCCAAAAGGGTTTTATGCCTTAATAGGCTTAAGCACCAGATTTTTTGGCTCATATATCTGTTTGTACCAGCTGACAACCTCACAGACTCAAATCACTATTTACATTGACTTCCTGATTCAGTGCGGGCATCAACCCACAAATCACATTTCTCTCAGTGTAACTTTTTTTCAAACCCCCCTTTGCCCTTCCCTTGTCTCTAGGTCTTACATGAAGTTATAGCTAAAAGATTACACATATTTCCACGAGTCTGAATTTCAGACTATACCACTTAAAGAAACAGGCAAAAAATTCCAAAAGTTCTTGCTATCTAATCCTGGAACAGTGAGGTCTAGTCACCCAGCATATGTAGTAATCAGTGGGCCACTCGAGTGACTTTGTAGGATCAAGAAATTTAGCTTCCTCCAATTAAAGTAAACTCTACTAAAATAAATATTCCAAAAATTGTTAATCTGGTTTATTTGGAAAATTTAAAAGATTAAAAATTCTTCTAAGGACATATCTTAGGACCTACCAAAATTAAGGATTCTTCCCTTGTTGCCAGCAAAGTCTGGAATTTTTTTGAGTGCAGAGTTAAAAATTATAGGATATTAGGCAAAA